GTCGCGTGCACACTGCTGGCGTGTGCGCGCCCCCCCCCCCATGCAGAGCTCACATGCACCTGGGCATGCACACACGCACCCCCCCGCGCTCCTCGGGTGTGCACTCACCCCCACACCACGAACACACGCGTGTGCACACACCCCCCCCCGTGAACATGCACAGGTGCGTGCACACACACACAGAGCTCACGCTGGTGCACACACACACACACAGCCCCCCGCACACACGGCCATACACATATCGGACACGCGCTGCACACACGCAGCCACCCCCCCGCTCACACCTGTACACCCCCTCCCGGGGGACCCGGGGCCGCCATGGGGCACCGAGGGGCAGCCCGGGCTGGGGGGGGCACAGCCACCCCGTGGGGCAACGGGGAGCGACTGGGCCCGATCCTGCGCCCAGGGAGCTCCCCCCCCCCCCCCCCCCCCCCCCAGTACCCTCGGCCACAACCACCATGGGTGTCCCCATGGGTGGCTGGGCTGGGGGGCACCCACCCCATGGGTGCGGGGGGGGGGTGGGGGGGTGTTGGGGGCCGGGGGGTCCTACCTCTGGCAGAGAGCTTTTTGGTGTTGATGATCTTGGCGGCGTACTCATGGCCGGTGCAGAGCTTGACGCAGCGCCGGACCACCGAGAAAGCCCCCCTGGGGAGGGAGACAGGCTCAGCGCCCCCCCCGCCTGCCTTAGCCCCCACCCAAAACCCAGGCACGGGTGGGCTCCCACCCATGACTCAGCACCTCATGGCCCGGGGGGGGGGGGGCTGCTGCACTGGCCGTGACTCAGCACCCGGGGGGGGGGGTGTGAACCCCAACACCCGGGGAGGGGGGTCCTGATGCCGCTTGGTCCCCCACCCCAGGCACGCCAGGGCCAGTGGATGGGGGGGGGGAGCTGGAGGGGTGCTGGGGTGGGGGGGGCTGGTGTCATGGGGTGGGGGGGGGGATGGAGAGGGGTGGTGGGATGGATCGGGCGCTGGCAGCCCGTTGCCAAGGGGACAGCGGGTGGCCCGGATGGCGGCGGTGGCCATGGTGGCGGCGATGGGTGGCGGTGGCCGCAGTGAGGGGCACAGGGCCCAGCTGTGGGGCACTGGGAGCCAGCGGCCCCCCCCCCCGGGGACAGCGACGGGGACAGCGTGGCCCCTCCAAGTGCCACCGCCGCTCGTCCCCCCCGCCCAGATCCGCCGTCCCTGCCCGGCCCCGGCCTGGGCTCAGCAGCTCCCATGGGGGAGGGTGGGGGTGTCGAGGGGGGGGGGGGGGGTCACAGAGGGGCTGGGGACACCGCGCTGAGCCCCGCAGCACCCCAGCCCTGCCGTGCCGAGGGTCCCACGGGAGACACGTGGGCCACAGGAGTCTGGGGGCGAGGCCACCCCCCTGCCATCCCACCAGGTCCCCACGGCCCCGGACACCGAGGGCTGGCACTGTGGGGACCCTGCTGGGGGGACAAGGGGGAACCCCCCCCCCCCCGGGCCTGGCACCCCCCCTGTCCCCCCCCGCAGCACCAGGGACAGGGGGCACAGTGGGTGCAGATCCTGCGGGAGGGATGATTGTCCTGGATCCCCCCCCCCCCCCAGCCGTGCCTCAGTTTCCCCACCGGCCAGGGGCTGGTGTCCCCAACAATCCCAGCATGGAGGGACACACACACACGCACACACACACAGACACACAGACACACAGACACACAGACACACAGACGTGCAGTGGCTGGTGGGTGACACGGACGGACTGAGGCGGGGGGGGGGGGGGGAACCACGTTGCCATAGCAACTGGGACGAGCTGGATTTTGGAGCGAGCTGGGGAATAGCCCCCGATTGGCACCACATCCCCCGGCCGGTACCCTCAAAGGGACCATGTCTACCCCTGCAAAATGTCCCCCCCAACCCCACTATGGGGGGGGGCATCTCTCCCCTCACCCGACAAGAACTGCTCCCACCTTTCCTCCCCCCCCCCCCCCCCCCCCCCCCCCAGTCTTTCATGCAGGTCAGGGAGGGGATTTTCTCCCCCCCTCCCCCCCCCCCGCCATGGCCTTGGAGGCAAATGAGCCCCCCCCCCCAAAACAAGCTCCTCCTCAGTTCCCCCCAACACCTCCCCCAGGAGGGGGGTCATGGATGTGGGGGGGTGTGGAAGGACCCGGGGGGGGAGCAGGGGGCACCCGGGGGTCTTTAAGGACTGGGGGGGGGGGTGGGGGGTGGGTGTCCAGAAGGGCTGGCAGCTATAAGGACTGGCGGGGGGGGGGGGTGGGTATAGCGGATTTGGGGAGTTATATAAGGCCCAAAGGGGTCCAGGGAGGGTGGGGCTGGAGGATGAGAAGGGTCTATAAAGACCCGGGGGGGGGAGGTATAGATGAGGGGTCTATAGAGATGGGGAGGGGCTGGAGAGGTTGGGGGGCAAGGGGGGCCTGGAGGATGGGTGGGGGGCGTCTAAAAGGAGCAGGTGCCTATAAGGACTCAAGGACGGTCTGGAGGATGAGGAATGTCTATAGGGACCGGGGGGGGGCTATAAGGACTCGGTGGGGGGGGGGATGTCTATCAGGATTGAGGGGGTCTGGGGGGGTTGGGAGGTCTATAAGGACCAGCATGGCTCTAAGGGCTGGGGGAGGTGTTGGTAAGGGCTTCTGGGGAGTTTGGAGGGAGGGGGGGGTCTATAAGGACCAGGACAGCTACAAGGACCAGGGGATCTGGAAAGGTGGGGGGGGGGTGTCTGTGAGGATGGAGGGGTCTATAGGGACCGGGGGAGCTGTAGGAGCCAGGGATGGGATCAGGATAGATGGAGAGGGGGGGTCTATAAGGATGGGGGGTCCACAGGGTCAAGGGTAGCTATAGGGACTGGCAGGATCTATAGGGATGGGTGATTATAGACTGGGGGGGGATCTGGAGGGATTGGGGGGGAGGGTCTGGGGTGACTGGGGCATAGAAAAGGTCAGGAAAGATCAGGGGGGATCTGTAAAGATGGGGACCCGTAAGGATGGGTGGGGGCCTTGGAGAACAAGGGGGCTGCAGGGACTGGGGGGGGCTGTGGGGACGCGGGGGACCGGAGGAACTGGGGGTCCGGGAGGAGCTGTAAGGCCCGGGGGTCCCTGCGGCGGGGGGGGGGGGGGCAGGTACCGGATTGAGAAGGGGGGGGGGCGGTATCGGGGGGGGGCAGGGCCAGTACCGGGGGGGAGGGCAATACGGGGGGGGGGGGGGGGGGGGCTGGGCAGGGCCGGTCCTGGGGTGGGGGGCCGGCGGGGGGGGGGGCCGGTCCCAGGTCCCGGGTTGGGGGGTGTGGGATGCGTCACGTCTGCACCGAGCAGCGGCCGGAGCCCCGGGCAGCGCCCCCCGCCCCCCGTCCCCCCCCCCCCCCCCCCCCCCCCCGTGCCCCCCCCCCCCCCCCGCGGCCGGGGCCGTGGCCGGTGGCTCTTACTTGCCGATCTCCTCGTAGAGCTGGTACTCGTCGGTGAAGCGGGTGCAGGGCACGGTGGTGGCCATGCTGCCGCCGCGCCGCGCCGCAATGAGCCGCCCCGGCACCGGCTCCGCTCCGGCTCCGCTCCGGCTCCAGCTCCGCCTGGCGCGGGGGGGCGGGAGGAGGCGCTGCCGGGCCGGGGGAGGCACCGGCCGGGGGAGGCACCAGACCGGGACAGCCCCCGCCGCCCCCCGCCCCGGCTGGGATCCCCCCCTCCCCTCCCTTCCCCGAGGCACCCCCCCCCCCCCCCCCCCCCCCGCCTCCAACCTGCCCCCGCGCCGGGGACCACCTCCCCCTCCCGCATCGCCCCCACACGCCGGTCCCCAGCCGCATCGCCCCCCCCCCCCCCTCCCCCGGGCCGGGACCCCCCCCCAGCACCCCGCGGGGGATCCTCCTTCCCCCGGCCCCGTGTCTGCCCAAGGGCCCCATAACCAGGTCCACCCCCCCCGAGACCCCTTTATCCCAAATCCCCCCCCCCCCAGGTGGGGGGAGACCCACATCCACCGCCCCCATATCCAGCCCCGCTCCCCCCCAAGGGATCTCACATCCCCCCCAAAGGACCCCAAATCCGCTCCCCCCTGGGGATCCCCCCCACCTTAAAGACTCCAATATCCAGACACCCCCCACCCTGAGAACCCCACATCTACCCTCTCTGCCATCCTCACTGCATCCCCCCCCCCCCAGGTCATCCCCCCTCTATGCCCCCCCCATGTCACCCAAAACAACCCCTCCAAGTTCCAACCCCCCCCCCCATGAGCAAAACACCTGGGAGGGGCCTGGCGGTGGGTTGGTGTCAAAAATCTTCCCCCCCCCACCTCCCCCAAGGGCACTTTGAAGCCCCCCACCACCAATGCCAAAGCCTTGCTGGGTGGAGGGGGGAGCAGGATTTTTTTTGGGGGGGACACACACACATACAAAAGGCCACTGTGGAGGCCACCAGCAGCTCCAGGGCCTGTCCGGGGTGCTGGGACACTGGTGCGTGTGCGTGTCCCCCCTCCAGCCCTCACCCCGCCGTGGGCACACGTCAGCGGTGGGGGGGGGGGGGGGCGAGAGGGTGGGTGGGTGGGTGGCGGGTGCCCACCCCGGGGCGCGGGGCGAGCGCGGGTGGGTGGGCGGCTGGCGGCTGGCGCTGCCGTTGCCATGGGGACCGTGGGTGGCCGTGGGGGACTGCGCCGAGCCCGGTTCTATTTGTGCATCGCCACGGAGAAATTTCGGGTTTGGGGGGGCTGGGAGGTGGGTGGACACACTGGGGATGGCGGCAGGGAGGTGATGAGAAGGGGGGGGCGAGACCCACAAGGTCAGCACCCTCCAAGCCGCTTGGCAGCCAGCCCCCCCCCCCCCCCCAGGATCCCACATCTACCCTCCCAAGGGACAGCCAAAATCTCGCCCCTGTCGCCATGGGGGTGGGATCCCCTCCTCAGGCCCCATGCTGGGGGACATGAGGGCCACCCGCAGACGTCCCCCCCAGCTGTCCCCATCCCTGCGACCTTTATTGGGGTGGGGGGGTCGGGGCACATTTGTGTCCCCCCCCTGAGGCGGTGGCACTGAATCACTTGCAGGCCCCATGCTCGAGAAACGTGTTTATTGCAAACCAGGGGGGAAGCAGGTGGGGGGGGGGGGGGGGGGAGGGAGTGGGAAGGTGATGGCCGGGGACCCCCAGCCCACACACCCCAGGCTGGGGGGAAGATGCAAGAGCCAAGCTGGGCCTGGGGGGGGACCCGAGGGCTCTCACATCCCCCCCCCCCCACCCCCCCCCCCAGACCCCAAAGTGCCATGCCAGGGAAGCCCAGACATTTCTGGGACTACTGCCCAGTGATATGGGGGGGGGGGGGCTGGCAGCCATGAGGGCTGGCCCCTGCAGGACCGCCCCCCCCCCCCCGCCTCTGTGTGGTGGTGGGGGAGACAGCTCCGCTGCTCCCCACCGACCCCCCGAGGAAGGGAGGAAGCAAACTCCAGGGGGCTGGCTGGGGTCTCTGCCCACCGCCAAGGGGGGGGTGCCCCCTCTGGCCAAGGGCTGAAGGGGGGTGACCCTGGGAGGACCCCCCCCCCCCCCCCCAGCTCCGTGGCACTGGAGACCTCGGAGCAGGGTGGCAGGCAGGCAGGGCACGGGTGGGGGCAGGCTCTCCCCCCCGTGTGCCCTCCCACCAGCCCGCACCCAGAGCCGCGGTGAGGGGCAAAGCTGCCCTGTGCTGGGGCGGGGAGGGATCTGCACCCCCAGAACCCGACAAGAAGCATCCTCAGCCGCCAGAAATAATAATTATGTCACCCAATGAGCTCTGTCTATTCCGGAAAAACAACAGAGCCGTCGCCAGCGTGAGGCGAGGAGAGGAGAAGGGTCCCAGCCGCTCGGGTTGCCTTGGTGATGGGACGTAAATCTGCATTCACCAGGTTTCCTCGCATGCAGATCAAACCGCCAAGCCCAGCGCTGGTGCTGGGTGGCAAAGGCAGTGGAAGGGCACTGGCAGCGGGTGAGGGGGTTACGGTCACCAGCGTTGGGTGCGAGGGTCCCGGGCGGGCGGCCGCACGGGTTTCTCCTCTCCCCACTTCGTTTCTTGGCTGCTTTGCGCCGCCGTCAAAACTGCACGGCGCCGGGGGAGATGTTGAACATGGAAGGGTCGAACTTCTGGCCGCGGAAGGGGGAGCCCTCGGTGTCCCAGCCCTTCTTCAGCATCTCGTGCACCTTCTGCAAAGAGGCAGCAGGGTCCCGTCAGGCTGGGGCTGCCCGCCCCCCACCTTCGCCCTCCCACCACCCCAGTGCAGAGTGTGGGCCCATCCTGCAGGCATCAGGGTTGTGTGGCCCCTCCGGGGCACCGAAGGGGGGGTTGTGGGGCTCAGCAACAGGCACTCCTCTGCCCTGGGTGATGGCAGCAGCGATTTCCGAGGGCACGCAACCACCTCCGTGCTTCACCCACCCTCCTCCTGTCTGCCCTGGAAAAGGGAAGGTGGCACGCGGGACCAGAAGGGAGCGACGGGCAGTGAAAGGCGTCTCCTTGGTCAGGCTGAACCCAGACTCGTGCGGGTTCATCCCGGAGACAGTGGGGAGACAGCAGGGGTGGCTACGGAGGGACCCACGGGTATGTGGGACCAGCGGAGGGGGGGGTGCAGGTTCACAGGTATCTGCCAAGGTGCCGGGAAGGGGAAGACAGGACCATGCAGGCAAAAGACAGGGACTAGCAGAACCTCACGTCCCCCAAAATGGAGATGTGCGGGGACGCTGTGTGAGGAGGAGCTCTGAGATGGAGCTGCCCCACTCCGCACCCTTTTACTGGAGATGGGACTCACGGAGGAGCCGGGGGCTGGCGGCGTGGGGTGGCCAGTGCTTACCAGCTCGTGGCTCTGGGGCTTGCCCTGCAGCTTCTGGTGGTAGTCGAAGGTGAGGCGGTCCAGCACGGCATGCTCCTCCTCATCCACCGTGGCCATGGAGCGCTCCTTGTTGATCTTGTCGATGTCGATCTGCTCCTCGCCCTCCAGGATGGCGTTCCACCAGTACTCGTCTCCCTTGTTCAGGTTGATCTGGGGATGAGACGGGGGTCAGGCAGTGGGGAGAGGAGACCCTGGGACGTGTTCCCCCCCACCACCACCCGCCCCACACCTCCGTGGCAGCAATGCTGTGGGCTTGGCCGTGCCAGCGCATTGCTCCGCAGCGCGACGGGGGCTTGCCCACGAGCGAAAGGCCCGTTTGCCACTGACTGAGCCCCACAACCCCCTCCACGAGTGGCAGAGGGGGAGAAACTCTAGTCCCTCCCTCTCTCAGTGGTCCGAGGGCTTTGCAAACCCTGCCACAGCCCTTTGCAGTCCCAGCTCAGGTCTCTGGGCTGGGTGGCACCGCTGAAACCTTGGCCCATGCCGCAGCTCGCGGCCCGGACAGGCATCCTCCGTGGGTGCCTGCCCGTGGGTAACGCCAGCCCGGGGCTGCACGGCCGATGCAGCAGCAGCAGCAACACGGTACGGGGCCTGGAGAGCCAGGTCGGCTCATCTGCAGCCACCCAGGAGCCGGGAGCCTGGGGACCTGTCAGATGAAGAGGCCCTCGCCCGGCAGAGCCTGGGGCCAGGGCTCCTGGCATCGCAGTGCTGCAGTTTTGCGTTTCGCTAACCCAGAAAGAGCCCTCACCTCGGCTCCCCCGGGGGCTCACTCTGCGGGTGGGAGCGTGGGCAGCAAAGGAGGCGAAAATGTCACCAGCCGCTCCGTTGCCACCGCTGCTGGCTGCCAGCACCTGCCTCCCATGGCACTGTGGCTCGCTGGCCGGCCCCGGAGGGATGGTCCGAGGAGAGAGGACATCCCCTCGCCTCCAGCTGACATCCTGGCTGGCAACGCTGCACGAGCAGCACCGTGCGTGGGGCCGGATGGCTGGAGGGGCTGTGCGAGTTGCCAGCGGGTGCCCGTGTGACACCCCACCGTGGGGCACCCCACACCAGGAACACTGATTTGTCTTTTTTTTTTTTTTTTTTTTTTTTTTTTTTGCCAGGAGGGGTGGGCTTCTTTCTCCTGTATTATTTTAGCAATAATCCCAGTGGCAAGGAAGATTTATGGCGTTCGTCAGCCTCTCTGCAAAATCATCGATAAAGGCAGACAATACAATTTACTCAAACCTCCCTGGAAGCTCAACAGCTCTGGAGGGGAAAACACAGGCAGCCATTAAAGTTACAGAGCCGGGAGTCTCTCTGCGGTGCAAAGAAAAGGAACCAATTAATACAGGAGGGGGTGGCTGGGGCTTAATCCTTCTGGGAGAGCAGAGCCAGTAAAACATTCCGGCTCAGGGAAGGCGTTAGTTTTTCTAGCTAGACAGGCATGCTTGTTCTCCTCTTAATTGCACAGTTCCACTTTCCAGAGGAGGAAGAACCGCTGAGGGTTTGCTCGTGGGCTTCCCAACTCTGGGTGGGCAGGCGGGGGAATGGCAAGCTTCCCCAGGAATGTCATCCTCTGGAGGGGCAAGATGAGCTGTGGGCACAGGGCCGGCCAGCCCAAGCCTCCAGGCTGGCTGCTGCTGCCCTGGGTTTGAAAGAAGAGGAATGCCCCCACGGTGCCACTGGCGAGGTGTGAGCTTCCCTGCTGATGGCTTCGGCGTGAGCTGTGCTCTCGTGGCGTCGCTGCCGAGCGTGCACAGCAGGGCCCTGCTTGGAACATCCCCACCACGGCCAGGCCAGCAGCAGAGGGATGAGCTGGAGGACTTCATGGCTTATCAGGCATCATCCCACCTCCATCCCAGAGCACCAGCAGAAGGGAAATCTATTCCCTCCCCGTTCCCTATCAAATCCCCGCTATCCCCCAGCGACCCCACCAGTGTCCCCCACCACCAGCAGATCCCAGGGAACCCCACAGAGCCACGGACCAGGTGGGAAACACTCATGCGACCCAAATCCCCCTCGTCCACAGACTACCCCCAGTGAAAGACAGTGGAGCTGCCGCCGGGAGCATCACCCCGGGGGTCCCTTCCTCCTCCCTGCCCCATGCGCAGCCCTCGCTTTAGTTACCACAAACTGTTTCCCACCCTGCTAGGAAGACAGAATTATTCATTTCCTCACCAGCTTTTCTGTGGTGCACATCACCACAGCACTGAGTGCTTTGCAAACAGTATTTAATTAACCTCTGCAGCCTGCCTTGTACATACAGGGGAATTTGCTCATCCCCTTTTATTCCAGGGGGAAGAGATGTAAGAGTGGGACTCACTCTGAGGTGGGAGCCCCACTTTCCTACGTGAGCCTCTGAAACGCCCAAGGGCCAGGGCAAAGCTCTAGCACCTTGAGTTTGGGGTTTCGTGGTGCGAAGTGGTGCTGGAGCACTCACCGCGAGCAGGTCTGACCCCCAGGATGGGAAGCACAGACTCAGGTTGATTTCTCGGTCACGTTTCTGCCGACGGTCTCCGTTGATTCAGCCTGTCACTCGGCTGGGCACATGGGCCATGAGAGCTTGTGGTGATGGAGATGAAGGTGAGAGCCTCACCAAGCACTTGGGTGCGAGAAGGTCAAGGTAAGGGAGAGCCCAGAGACCACGGCAGATCGCTGGGCTCAGCCCAGGCAGGGTGATTCCCTGCGAGCACCAGCCCTCGCCCACCCATGGAGGAAGGCTCTGGCACTCGGCCAACAGCACCGTGCAATGCTTCACGCTCCCTCGGGGAGTGCTCTGGAAAACCTTGGGAGGAGGGGGGGGGGGGGAGGTTCACAAGGACAAATCTTGACCCGATTATGTTTCTTGCTTTGAGACAAGGTAAAAGCTTTGCCCATACTTGGAGCGGCCTCTACAAGTTTCCCAGCTCAGCCCGACCCTCCACGGTCTTCAAAATGCTGTTGGCCGCTTGCCAGAGGAAGGATTGGGTCCGTGCAGCATGCCCAGGCTCTAGGTCAGATTTTGGCTCTGTTTTTTAGGTTGGTGGGTCCCAAAGGGCCTCCTGGGCTACAGGGAGATCCTTCACCCACAGCCAAAAGGGGTAAAAACCCAGCTGAGTCTTTTGGGGTGCGCAGAGAGGCAGGAATAGCCTCTGCAATGGCGGCCTGAGGAGAGGGAGGCTTGCAGGGGGGACATCCAAAACCGGCAGCGTCCTCATGCCGCAGCACCCACGTTCCCAGACCCAGTGTCTGAGACACGAGCCATCAGCCACGTGGGGAAGGGGCTGTTCACACCCTGGCACACTCGGCAAAGCACAGGGGACGGGCGAGGATGGATGGCAAGGAGGATCGCTGCAGGTGGAGGTGGGCGCGAGGGAGGGACAGGACACTCGGCAGGCACATCTGTGGCCAGGAGGGATCCTCCAGCAGCAGGCAAAGAGGGTGACAGGTGTCATTGGCATGGACACAGTGTCACGTCATATCTTCATGTTCTGCCGAGAAGGTCACAAGCCATTGTGGCCAGTGCTGGGCTTTGTCATAGCATGAGGCTTCTTCCCTGACCCTAAATACCTTGTCAGAGCTGGAGAGATGCTACTGAGGGATATAAGTAGGTCTTAGAAAAACAACTTCTCACCACCTGTTTTCCTTCTGGAACAACAACAGCCCTCACCCCAAAAGTCAGTGGGAGATCTTTAGGGAGTATGGAGGAGGCAGCAGGCAATGTTTCCAGCAGTGTGTGGAGGGCAGGGCAGAGGAAGAGCACCACAGATTATTATTAACTTGGCCTCGCGGCTCACAAGATGACAAGCTGAAGACTGTAATAGCTGTTGAAGGCAGGACTGGGTGACAAAAGCCCAAGTGTGGATAACAAATGCTGGAGAGAAGAAAAAGAGGGAACAGGGGGGGAAAAAAATCCTCAACAACGAAAATAATCCCAAAATGTGTTGTGCACAACACCCAGCGGAGATTTCTAAAAACAGCTCGTGCAAAGTTATTTTAATCTCACTTTTGACAAGCGAGCGGGTGTGACAGAGAAGGGAGAGCACAGGGATTATACCCAGGACCAGGGCTTTGGCACGGCATCACAGGCAGGGGCAGAAGCCTGAGACACTATCCTGAGGTGTGGAGATCAGCAGAGTGCTCCACTTCGAAATGACACCCACTGGGTTTCTGCCATGGCCGGGCTGTCATGCAAACTGCGAGCATGCCAAAGGACGAGATGGGAAACATGCTCAGCCCAGGCTTGGGCAGGGAGAACCTCATGGAGCAGGAGGGGAAGGGCAGAGCAGTCTCTGAGCACCGGGAAGAAGGGAATACCGGGGCTGCTGGAGAGCAGGCAGACGTGCGGTGAGAAGGAGGAATTGATAGGAACACCAGACAGGATGGGAAAGCTGCACTAGGGTGCGTTACAAGGCGAATTAACCTTCTTAGGATAAGATCTGGGGGGAGAAGGGAGGCTAGTTAATGAGAGGCCACAAACTGCCGTCCCAGAAGGGAGCTGAGCATGGGGCAGCAGAAGCTGCAGAGGTGAGAAGCGGCTGTAACAGCAGCCTGGAGAGCATGGGGATCTCGATGATCCTCGACGTGTCCTGCAAGAGCGCACAAGACTCAGCCTCTCTGCACAGAACTGGGACTTTTTCAGATGGACAAGACAAAGCAGGAGAGACTTCACCTTCTTGAGACGTGGATCAAGCTCTGCCTGCAGGGATTACTTCAACTCACGGACCATGAAAACACGAGCATGCACAGATTTTTCTCTGGACAGAGCCGCTGAGGCACCCCAAGCAGTAACCAAGGTGGCCAGGGTCTCCTGGGATGACTCTGGTGCTGGCACTGGGGCGAGCTCGGGTTCGGCTGCATCCCCACCCTGCCAGGGCACGCCGTCCCCTGGTGCCAGGGAGGGAAGCCAGCTAGCACCTTGCAGCATCTTGCAAGATGAAGACACTCCTGATCACTGCATCCAGACTTCACACGGAGCTGCGCAACATGTGGACTCACAGACTCGGGTACAGAAAGGGCCCACAGTCCCTGTCAGCCCTCCAACCAAACCCAAACAGCTCCTGTCCAGTCCCCTTCCAGGCACTGAACGAAGCAATTCGTTAACACGTGGCTGGCTGTCTCCTGATGAAAGAATTGGGAGGAGTCACAAACCACTTTTGGCTACTCTGCGCATGGAAAAAAGGAGATGCTCTTGGGCGAGAATTACTCACTCTGCTCCAGTTACCTTACAATTTTTCAAGGAAAATTTCATCCCACCATCAATATGCTGGCAGCTGGAGATCCTCACAACCCTGTGCTCGTGCTAATTGCGCTAGGGTTGGAGGTAACAGGACCGCTCCCTGCGCTGCCCGCGGCCGCTCCAGAAGGCCCCAGGTCTCGCTCCAGCTGGACGTCGTTCCCATCCTCCTCCAGCCCCAGGTATTTAACAAACATTCCATCCCCTGATGATCCTGGGAACACCCACCAGGGACTCCCATCCACGCTGTGGAGCAGCCACCCATTGGGCCACCTCCTCTTGAATGGATTTACTCCTTCCCAGGATTGTTTCTCTTTCCAGATCGACTAATTTTCAAGAAGATTAAGAACATTTAAAAAATGCAGGTTAATGATGTCACCACCTCCTTTTTCACATCCTTTCAATAGCCTAATGGAGTTGGAGAAGCTCCTCTCTCCTGCAGAGACCTCACCCTTTTGGAACCAGTCTGTCATCCCGGGGTACACCTGTAAGAATCTGCCTCTAGCAGCACGTTCCCACTCAGTTTGCCACTGTGGGGACCTGGCTTTGGGTGCCTCTCAGCTGCCACCCTTGGGACACGGGGCGGAAGGCTTGAAGCCTGCTCCCTCCCTTGCAGGGACGCTGCTGCCTGCACAGGGTCAGGAACAGCCTCACCTGTGGGCCCCAGGCAGCCAGCACCCCCTCCTGGCACTCACGACAGCCTTGAGACTCCTGAAACTACTGGCAAAGCCTCTGGGTGGAAAAGGAGAGGGCAAAGATGGCCACAAGTGGCAAAACCCCACTCCCAGCACAATCCTGGCCCCCAAACTTGCACAGGAGTTTGGCAACTGTTTGACACTTGAGCTCCCAGGCTGATGGGCAGCAACACAACCCCCAGGACAGCTCCGGCAGTGGACACAGCCAAGGGACGGCAGAACTCACACCCTCAGCCTGGACATCTGGAGCACACCAAAAACAAAGTCATGAGGCTGGGAACCCACCAGTAACACACTGCTGGGCAGCAACAGCCCCTGAACCAACTCGGCAGGGAAGCTTTGTGGTGCTGGTCTAGCAGGCACACAGCAAGCCGTTGTGCCTGCTGAAAGCAAAGAGAGAAGCAGCCACAGAGACTGCTTCAAACAGGATAAGTAAGAAACCTGAGGCAGGACAGAAATGAATGGCAGGGAACAGGCATCTGCTGGGATGCTGGGGTATGACTGGGGCCAGGAGAGTCAGAGGCTGAAGCCAGCAAGGACAGACACACAGCACCGGTGCAGTGCCCCCACCTCTCTGCTGGCAGACCTCATGTGCTGGGCTCGGTGGACAGTGATCACATCTGGGTAACAGATCTGCTCCCACCGCTCCAGGCTGGAGCTTGGGGACCCTCCTCATGCAACCCAACGGATGTGTTGCTCTGCCAGCACCCCACTGTCGCTTGCCCAGCGGGGCAGCCCAGGACCTGGAGGCAAGGCACAGCACACAGGGAAGGGCAGGGTGAGCTGGATGTTGGATGGGGAAAGCCAGACATGTTCAGATCTAGCTCCGACTTCCTGCTGCTATGGTTTTCCAGGTCAGGCCCAGAGGAGCTGCAAGCCAAGTTGTGGAAAGACCCCGGTGCAGACTGCCCTTACCAAAACGCACTTCCCGGGCTCCAGGCTCCAGAGGGAACTCTCTGTGTTGATCTTGTGGGTGAGTTTCCCTTCCATGAGGACGTGCTGGCTGTTCCCCTCCAGCACCGCTACGCGAATTGCGCCACTGCTGATATCCACAGACACCTGGAAACACACAGAGAGAGAAAATAATCAGGAAGGTTCCTGCTTGCCCTCCTGCTGTGCTAGTTGGGGTGCAGGGTCAAGTGCACTCACTGGGGATGAGAGAGAGAGAAGAGCTTTCAGACCTGCATGTAGCAGGAGGGTGGGAATCCCACTGTCATTTCAGAGCAAATAGCAACACCTTGGAAGAGAAATGAAACCTCTCCTGCAAACAAAAAGCAGCAGGGCCCAGCAGACGGAGCCCTAGAAGAATTCAAGGCAGCTGGTTCTGCCACCGCGACCGCCCTGTGCCTCAGTTTCTCTGCAGAGAAAACCAGCAATGCTACAGGCCTCCTCCACACGGCACTCAAAGGTTGGATGCCCACTTGCTGTGACCAAGCTCTTTAGAAGCACAGTGGGTGCCTGGCCATCACCGTGACGAGCTGCGCATGGGTGCGTATCTTCCTGGGGGCTGAGTGCTTCCCTACCACTTGGGAGCAATTCGGGGATTTCTACATCGGGAAGGGCTGAAGCAGCTTGTCCCCCCCTGTTCCTGCACCGCACCGAAAGCACACTCCTTGGCTCTGTGTCTGCTGCCAGAGCCAGCGCTGGGCTCAGCCCAGGCCTCCCGTCGGGCGTGCGAGGAGGGGCTGTGTGCGGGAGGGATGCTGCAGCACGGCTCCCCTTCTCCCCACCCTGGGGGCGAGGGGACAAGGCAGCTCCTTCCCCAGGAAAAAGGCCAGCTCCTGCCTGCAGCAGCCATATGGGGAACCCTGCTCCGACCTGCCGTGGAGGTGACATGGCTCTCTCCTGGGTACACAGAGGCAGACTGCGACTTTGCTGCACGGCACACAGTGCTCTTGGTCTCCAGAGAGACCATATGCTCTCTCCGTTCCCCTTCGGCCCCGAGCTGCTGCCAGCAAAGAGCCCGAGCCAGGCTGGGGGACTCGGGGAGGACCTGGCTGGGAAGGGGCAGGTTTGTGGCCCCTGGCGCTGCACTGTCTCTGGCCCGAGAGGAGGAGACTGCAGTGAGATTTGCCTGCATTCTCTCCCAGAGTTCCCCCAGATCTTCCTCCTGCTCTGCAGATCTCATTTGAAATGTTATTACATTATCCATTACCTAGGAGATTTCCAGCAGCTCACTAGCTCCACGCAGGCAAGATATGGGCAAAGCTGCTCCAGCCAGGGAGGGCACCACGGCTGCATCTAATTGATACCACCCAAATAAAGCCCCCGAACCCGCTGCGTGTGACAGGGAGCTGCCAGGGCTCCGACAGGAGCAGAGGAGGCCCAGCACACACAGCACAGGGTGACACTAGGACGGAGCTCTGATGCTGATGGCTGGGAGTGGGACTGTGGTCGCAGGGGATTGGGGAAGGGATGCAAGTTCCGGCTCTGCCAGATGGGAGAGGACACCTGGCTCTCACTCGGTACATGGCTGTGGACAGCCTCTGTGAAAGCAGCTCCTCCTGGATGGGAAGCATCTCTGGAGAGGCTGCAGAATGTAGCAGCTTCCTCCAGCCCAGGGCTTAGGCCTCACTGAGGGGATGAGGTGCAGGGATGAGGCTCTGCTCTCCACCACCCCTGACTGCCCTGGTCCCCAGCTGGGCTCTCAGCACAGCACAGAGCCTGCCCAGAAGGGGTCAAGGGCCAAAAAGCACTGTGACCCCCAAGTTGCCTTCTGGGGGGCTTCTCTGAGGTGTGGAAGGCCAGGACGGCTGGGGATATGGAAGGCACAGATGCAGCATTGCAGCTGTGGGATCCACAGGGACAGGAGCAATCAAATATGAGAGGGGTTTTATTCCAAGGTGGCTGCGCAAGACAGCTGGTGGGGCTGAGGGACATCTTGGAGGTGGCTCTGGGACCAGCAGGGCATTAGGAGAGGGAGCGGAGAAACCCAAATGGAAGAAGAGACCCAAACTGGGCAGCCTTAACCCAGCCACTCTGCTGTGTGACCAGCCAGCGCGAGAAGCGGCTGCAACACCCGCTTCCACCTGCAGCCAGCAAAACAGCCCCGCTTGGCACGGCAGCCCACCGGGAGCAGTGACAGGGGACAAGAGCAAAGGAGGCACCGCTGGAGAGCTCTGACCCTGCCTTGCATAGAGGGAAATGTCCGAGAGGACTGATGTGTGCACTTGGTGGTGCCCGGAGAATGCAGGGCTTGGTGCACGCGGGCAGTGAATCCTTCTCGGGTGCCTTGGTGGAAAAACCGCCTCTGCTCAGCATCTCCACTCCACCAGGGAGGGTGGCCGGGCTCTCCGAGGGGCTGCCCTTCCTCCCTCCACCCAAACCACCCCACCACGCTGCGCTCAGGGCATGCAAGGCTGGCAAAACCGGGGTTTGCAAGAACTGGGCACAGACAGCTCGCACCTGAGCCCAGGCAGTGGCTGGGGGGAAGCCAAGGGTGATCCCATGGGGAACGTGCTGTCCTGGCAGCGCAGCCATGAGCAGGGGCACCCCAGAGGCTCCGAGGCTGCTTGTCCCCTACCCTGAGCTCCCTGAGAGCACTTCTGCCCTCCAAAACACCTGGCTTTCCGGGTGCTTGCAAGGAAACCCAGATCTCAGCTCTCTGCTGTGGCTTTCCACCACAGTAATTTCTGTGCACAGTAAAACGCCCACACCCGCCCACGCAAATCAAACAAGCAAACACAAACCTATGAAGGAATCTAGCTTGTCTCCTCTGAGCCAGGCAAAAAGAGAGGCTTGTTGTCATTATCTCTATTTAAGTGCCCAGGAAGCGCTCAGATCCACAGGCTCCTGTTGCGCCTGTAAGTAGATCAGAGAGGTGGAGACCGCAGAGCAAGATGCTCCCACCTACCCCATTGCCCATTCCTGCTCCACGGACACTTCTTTGGAGCTCCAAACAAGGAAACCTTAAGCTCGCCCAAGCGAAAATGTGCCATAGCAACAGCCTGAATCCAAAAAAGTGTCATAAGGAAGATTTTGAGCAGCATTAGAGCTGGGCGCGCTCTGAGCCCAGGGACCAAACAGGGGAGATTTTTAATCTCGCCTTGGCAGGCAGAAGCCAGAAACCTCGTAATTTTTAAAAAAGAAGCTGTGTGGTGAATGTAGGGGAATGGTTGTCTTTTGCAGGAACCCATCAACAATGCATCCAAAGTCCATCGAGCTTTAAAATGGCTCTGAACCATTCTGCTTTGGCCCACGACCCAGCCTATCTACTTCCAGTCCCCTGAGTCTGGAAGAGATTTAAAGAATCACTTTAAAATGAAAACGTGGGTGCCAAAGGGAGCCCCAAGAGGGATGTATAAACCAAACACCAGGAGATGCATCGCAAGGGTGAGGAAAGTCTGACATATGAACAGTCAATTGCCCCAAGAGGGCAGCACAGGCAGAGACTGGGGCCAGGCAGAGCAGCACCAGGGGCAACTGCACGGGAAGGAGCTGCCCTGCCAGTGACCCCCACGGACACGCAGGGGCTCTTCTGCAGCGCTGGCACAGTTTCAAGTTGATGAAAGGTCAGAAAAGCCCATCCTGTCCCTGCTCCTCCGAGCACCTGCAAGGACCCCACAATCCTGGGTGGCAAAGGATGGGGTAGACAAAGCCTGATGCTCCTTTTTTTGGCAAGGACAAAGTTCCCCTGGAGCAAAGGGCACTTCCCTGGGCAGGGAGAGGCATCTTGATCGCAATATGATGCAGAGGGATGGAACATCCGTCTGGACGCCCCCGAATCCTTCCAAGAAACAGCCTGGGTTTGTTTCAGAGACCCACTGGGAGAGATGCATCTCTTGGTCTCCCTGCTGTCCCCGTGGCAGCCGTTTGCTCCCTCACCCCTCTGGTCTGGGTTGCTGCTGCCAATCACACTCTTTTGGCATGATCAGGAGCTGTGTAGGCTGGAGCCAGCGAACAAACCCAAGCGTGCTCATTTCAGCCGCCCTGGAAGCCCACAAGAACGGGAGGTGGGGGAGCGTGGACTTCCCAAATGGAAAAATACAGGATCAGCCGTGGGGAGAGCAGCACTCAGGAAAGACAGGAGAGTTCAAAATTCTGGGTCTAACACCACCAACGGGCATGCTCCTCTCAAGTCTCTCGCCAGGAGGGAACAGAAGTGGCGAAGGAAAAATGACGTGACTGCTCATGGCCACAAGCAGAGAAGGAAAGTTCCTGCCTGAGCCAAGGAGGGAGGTGAGACCTCCTTGCCCACACAGGCAGCCACAGAGAGGATCTGGCTGCTCAGCCTGCACCCCAGCCCCAGCTCCCTTCCGCTCAGAGCGGGTCAAGTCTCACCCAGGCTGTGCCCGCTCCAGTCCCCAAGTGCCACGGGAGCTCTTACACCTCCTGCTTGCAAACAAAAGGCAGGAGACACTCCAAGCCAGAGGGAGTGACCGGGGAAGGAGCATCCATCTCCAGCCAGGCTCAGAAACCTGTATGCGAGTCTGTGGTCAGTGCAAGCAGAGAGAGAAAGCACAGAAAGTGCCATGTGCTGCCAGGCAACCCACTGGGGCCAGAGTAACTGGGGTAACAGAGCAACGCTGCAATAGCAACAGGAGCATGGCCAGGCTGGGACTGTCAGTCCCCACAAACCACACACCCAGCGCCGGAGAAAAACGCACAACTGCATCCTGCTCCTTGAGTACGAAGGACAAGGAGCCTTCCCACTCTAAACAGGAAAGCTGAGCAACCTGAAGGAAAAGGAAATGCTGAAAGACACACCATTAACACCACTTTACCTGTTTGCCTTTTACGATGTGCTTAGGCACAGGCACTTTAATCTCCAGGTCACTGTAGTCTTGGGACCAGGCGTAATTTTCTCGCACAGCTCCGTTGTAGCTGTCGGGGTTTGTCTGGAACTGCTCCTGTCTCCTGGGGAAGAAGAAAGGGACGACATGCTAAGTGTTGGACAGATCAGAGCCTGGAGACAGTATGAAACCTGAGGGCAGGGTACAAGAAGCAGAAAGGGAGGGCAGGGCCTCTGCTCAGCCATGCTGAGAACACCCTTAATGCTTCAGGCTGATGCTCAGTCTCTCTCTTGCTGCTGGCGATCCAGGAAGGGAGAAGGTTCAGGTCAGCAGCCCCAGGATGCAGAGAGACCCCAGCCACCCTGCCCATCACGAGCGACCTGCACACCCCTCGCTGCAGTATGCTGTGACGCAAGTCAGGCTGCTAACAGGACAACTGGTGAGACACACAATTATTTGGCTGCCCAGAAGGTGGAAAGCTGGCCCCTGGCTGGCTCGAGGTGCCTTCCTGGCTAACCTGGCTCAAGCACAGAGCTCCCCTTCCCCTTCACCTCCTTGCTGCATCCGCCACACTCGTCACAGCTGGAGCAGGGGACATCGTCAAGTTCCAGAGAGTGTGTGCTGTCTCCCGAGTCACTGTTACGGCTGCAGAGGTGCTGGCCCATCCCTGTGACCTGGGTTCACCATGAAAAAAAACAGAGCTGGTCGTCTTCCTCCCAATTTTAGCACGTTTGGGAAAACCATCAGCTGTCGTGACCAAGGCAGTTGCTGTCAGAGGTGGAGGAGCTGTGGAGCAGGATGGCTGAAGAGTCAGCCTGGTGTGGCACTGGAGGGGGGGCAACTGGACACTGAGCAAAACACTGCCACTCCCAGCTGTGGAAATCTCAGGAGAGGGATGAGGAGGTGGTTGCGAGGGTTGGATGGGTTTTACCAGATCGATAAGCAATAATCAATACAGGATTTCCAGCCAAGAAAGGAGATCTCTGTCACACCCATGTCCCTTTAAACTGCTGGCAGGCTGAGGATCTCTTCCATTGAAACCTCCCGGAGAGGGCTTTCAAATAAAATCAGATCTTTTCTAAAGATAGCTGCGGTGCTAACAAAAGGCAGAGTTATTTTAAAATGTTTTGATACGCACCTAGTCTTCAATCTGGAGCTGTATAAACATGGGGCCACAGTGAGTTACATAAGGGGGGGCCAGTGCTGAGCGACCCTAGGGAGCAGCTGGCCCTGGGGACCGTGTCTCCCTACGCCCCACTGTCTTCCTGACACCCCCACACCGAGGGGCCCTTGCCAGCACTGGGCAGGGGTGGCTTCCAGCACCGCGGCGCCCTGAGGATTATGTAAGATTTTAATTAAATTAGGCTCTAACATGGACGGAGGGTGTTGTCAAAGGGGCTGTGTGTGCATCCCCCACCTGCTTTTTTTTTTTTTCTTCTTTTTTTTTTCTCAGTGGTTTTACGGGGTTTTACCTGCCCTGTAACCACCACCTGCGCCCTGGGGTGGTTTTGATCCGGTTCTCCAGGCAGCACCAGGGGCTGGCAGCAGCTGCGGGCCCCCCCAGCCTCGGGCCAGCGATTTCAGGGGGCACCACATCACTTTTGTTTGGGCATCTTGGCCTTGCCTGGCAGTCGCCCATTGGGTGCCCATTGCCATGGAAACGGGGTTGGCATGGCAGCGCCGAACCAGCGCTGGCACGGGTTGGCTCCAGCTGTCAGTTTCCCAACCGCCCCCGGATTGTAGGAGTCGAACAGGCTGGAGGGCGAGAGGGGGAACAGTGCGGGCAACCGGGGTCTGCAGGGCCCCGCTCTCACGCCATGGGAAGTAAAGGGGTTGAGACGAGGCAGCATGTCCTCGAGCATCGTCTTGTGCATCCCAGGTCCTCACCTAGAGCCGGCCCAGTGGTGGCACCTGGCCCCGCTCTTGGGGCACGATCATCCCAGAGACCGGCCTGCACAAGCCCCAGGCACAGAGGAGGGATGTTTCTCTGCCGGGTGAGGATCCACGAGCTGCCTGGGGCAGCTTGGCTACTTAAGTGCCCTCGCAGGACATGTCCCTGTGCTGCGGGGTCTGCATGGGCGAGGGACGGGTCCACAAGGCTCCTGCCCTCCACTCCAGCTCCCTCGGGCTGGAGCAAGTCTGTACATGGCCGTATAGTGAACCGGAGCACAAACCTCATCAGGGTTTAAAACCTGCTGGGTTTTTTCCTCCTAAGAGAGTGTTTCCTAATCAGCATGACCCTGAGCGGCGAGGCAGAGCTCACCATGCTCCTTGCCAGTGAGACACCAGAGGCATGTTGGCTGGGAATTGCCACCCCAAGCATCATCAGCTCCCTGAGAGCAAAGAACCAGACAAGAACCAGCAAACGGCTATTTACTTCCAGGCTGTTCCCCCCCTCAGCCTTCCCTGGGAAGAGCTCAAAGGCTAAAGGGGGAAACAGCAAGCTCATGCCTGGGCCAAGGCTTGTCAGAGCAGGTGTAGAGCATCAAGGATGGGAGAAAACCCATGAGAGCAAAGGCAAGGGTGGGTAAGATGCCAGCTGCAAATACCTCATGGCCACAGCACAGATAAATATAATCCCAGGGTAGCTGCTCACTGCCACAAAGCCACCAGGTCTGTCTTTGTTGTGTCTCTTCCTCAGGAGGAAAAGTCCTGGGGCTGAGCAGGCCCTGGCCAGGCATGTCCTGGACATTTCAGCGCTCTCCTGAGCTTGCCGAGCACAATGGGAGATGTCAGTGTTAAATGGCAGCCCTGGGAGATGTCAGTGTTAAATGAGTTACTTCCACAGGGAAACTGAGGCAGGACTTCCTCCGCAATGACTGTTTAACTTCTCCTTGCGTGGTATTGTTACTGAAGGAGCGAAAGCAGCCTCCCTCCCAGCCCCGAGCGTCACCCGCGGGACAGCTCTGTCCTCGCTCCCTCTGTGCCGTAACTAGAGCAGCGCGCCAGGTGACGGAGGGACATTTCACAGCCATCTCTGCCTCCACACGCAGCTTGCTGGGACGAGCTCTGCCCCCGCAGCCTTGTCCTCACAGCCTTCCCAGGCTGGCCGGGTGACATATGCCCCAGCCAAACCGTCCCCGGGCCCAGCTGGCTTCAGCGGGCAGGAGTTTCCCCTCGTGCCTAAACCTCCCTCCAGACACGGCTGCTCGTCCTGGGGGCGCGGGGACCAGCGCCATCGCTTCTCCGCTCCTCTCTTTTCCCTAACAGCCAGTCCAAACACCTTCCAGCCCTTCCTGCAAGTCACCACTGCCAATCTCTACTCCAGCTCTGCTCTTGACATTCAAAATCCTGGGATGTGAAACTAACAGGGTGACTTTGTGCCCCAAAAGCAGATCACAGGGGAAAAACCACAAAGGCCTTGGTAAATTCCCCTACAAGTTTAACTGCCTGCTCTTGAGCAAATGAGGATTCAGGGTGATGAACAGAGGCCTCAGCCTCGTTAGACGCCTCTGACAAACGGCTGACAGTTCTACCATCTCCTGGAGCAACTCTTCCTTTCCTGGAGGTTTTCCAGCCAGATCCTTGTCTGGTCCAACTGTGCTTAGCACACGCCACCCTTCATGCCGGCAGCGCTCAAAAAATTGGACCGAGCTCCCTGGTTGGGAGGCAGCCTCCCTCACCATCCACAGGAGACGGCCCCAGCTCACGGTGAGCTGGGCCAAGCTGTGCCACCATGCTGGAGATGGCTCTCCCAGCCAAACCTGCCCCTCATGTCGCTTCAACAGCACCACCATGCAGCGGGTGAGAGAATTTCCTGCACGAACACCACTGCCAGGAGACATCCCAGTCCCCAGACCCACCCAGCGAAGATCGAGGATGGATCTGGAGCACGGCGGGGATTGGATGGCGATCCTCCCAGCAGCCCAGCGATAGCAAAGCTGCTACTGGTGCAGCGGTCAGCTCACCAGGATGCCGACCCACCCGCTGGGCCAGGGCAGGTGGTGGCAGGGCTGAGGAGAGGGAGGGTGAAAAGGCACCAGCTTTTAAAACCAAGGGTTTGGCACCACATGCACTTGGCTGCCGGGTGGTGGGGATGGTGTGGGTGGGTCTGTGTGTTCTGTCTTGTTCTATTTTTGCTCGCAATGTGTCATTTTGGGGGAGGTGAAACCTTTAACAATGCACCGTCGAGAAGCAGCCGATCTGTTTTCCACTCCGAGGAGCTGCACTGCACGGCTGCGCTGTCACCGCTATCAGAGCCGTTCCCCCCGATGGGGTCAGACACCGACGGCAGCGAGACGGGGCTGGGACCCTGAGGAGAGGCTGTGGAGTCACCAGGAGGTGCTGCTTGAGCGAGGCTGGCCGAGGCAGATCTGGCCCCTGTGGACAGGCTGGATGCACGAGGGTCGAGCTGCATGCCAGGCCCCATATCCAGATTTCTGGGCATTTCTTATTCTGGGATTTCCAGCTCTGTGGGTTGGTGACGCACGATGAGCCGAGTGATGCGGAAACAGCGACGGAGCAATCCTCTCTTCTGCGGACACTTGGCTGAACACATTTCCACCCTTAGAACGCAACAGCTCCAGCACCAGCTCTGGAAAAGCAGCGCCGGACACAAACCAAGGGCAGGAACCAGATGCCGAAGGATTTGGTTTAACGTTTTATACAAGGAGAAGTAGGGCATGTCACCAAGTTCCACTTTACTGAGGATTTTTGGTGCGAGAACGCAAAAGTTGAGGAACGGTTACAGCAGTACGGGAACAGCCTGATGCTGCAGGCTGAGGGGTGCAGAGGGGGGCAAGTGCCATGGGAAGGAGTTAATATGGGCCTAATCCCAACGGACTTTTTTCTCTCCATAAAAAGAAGCAAAGAAAAAACTCCCAAGGATTTTCAGAACTACTTAAGGAAACGGATCCTCTTAGCCTGAAGCATCTCAGCTTTCCAATCCAGGATCGCTGCCCTCTTGGGAAGCAGGTCGATGGAAGTGTGGGATACTTGGGTTTTGCAGAGGCAGGCACGCCAACCCGACAGCTCAGCGTCCACCACCGCCGGGACTGGGAGTCTGCCCCAGCCGGTGCTGGTTCACTGGCCAAGCAGACCACTGAGCTCAGGGGGGCTTCTGCCCCTCACCAGCACCGCCGCTGCCGAGGGCCAGTACAGCAGATACCCTCCAGTCACTTGGCA